TGCAATCCACACAGCTGGTCATCTTTCTTTTTTGTTGTATCTAAAAGCAGCCATATGTCATCAGCAACCCTCTCATGTATATTGAACTTCCTTAGCACATCAGCTTGTCTCTGAATGTGTTACCTGATGTCTTTAAAGTGGCAAAACACAGAAAAGCGGGTCCTCCTCATCCTTTGTTCCTCAGACCAGCAAGTCCGTAATAAGGTAGAGATGGGCTGTTTAGACCCTTGAGCCATATCTATTCTAGCTTTGCTTTTTAATTTCTCCTTGCTTCAGCCCAACTAGCAGAATACGGCTCAAATCAGCTCTACGCTATCCAGTAGTAGTATGGCTATCCTGTATCGATAGGGAAGCCCCAGGGCTACTGGGCGTTGGTGTGTTTTATGTTAGATCATCCATGGCAACTCTGATTCTCCAGCTCAGTCTGTCTGTCCAGGTGCTTTATTTGGTGCTTACCATTTTTAATACGCGTGATCTTCTCTAGGAATTAACAGGGATGTTAACAACAGTCTTTCTGCTCAAAATGTTAGCGTCAGTGCTTGAGAACCGTTACAAGGTGTCTGGCAGGATGTATGCACATAAGAGGGAAGGATATTTATTCTAGGAGAGCTAGATTGAACAGGTAAGCTTTAATGAAAGTCTTAAAAGCTTTTGGTTCAGGAGATACCCTTAATCTTTCCTAAAAGCGTGCTTAATAATCTTGGTTCTGTGGTTCTGCATGTGAAGATCTCTCTTCTCCTTCACCATTTAGGGTGGTATTATATAGTTAGAGGTCGAAAAGGTTGTGATGTGATGAGATGGGTGATATCTTAGGAAACTAGGATGACGATTTAAATGGAGCCCCTACCAATGCATAGCCTGTCAGGGTAGCACGCTCAGATCACTTTCTGTTGCTGTTGAATTTTGAAACTTCTGGAATGTAAGTGGTTTCTCTCCTTCCTAAATGAGCTGCAGTCACCACACAGAATCAGAAGTGTATCCATGTTGGAGCTCAGTCCTGTGTCTGAAGCACGGTCTTATCAACTGCAGATAGAGAACTAGGTGTTTTGCAGCACTGGCATTTGACCATCCAGTAGCACTGAAGAGTTCGTGAGATGCCCACGGTTACCTTGGCAATAAAGTGATGAGATATGCTCAGTAGAATGGGAATTTTTAGAGGTGGGGAGATTTTCAAAGCTCTTTCCTTTTTTATGAGCGTTAACTCATTTGGTACTGAGATTCATGTTTAAACAGACAATTAAGGAATGTTTTTAATAGGCTGAGAAAAGTTAAAGGATGCCAGTGTATTCTTTAATCCTGCCATTGGTAACAATCCATATCATTTTGCACTCATTACGCTTTTTAAGGGTGAATAACTTAGATTCTTTCACCTCCTGGTCAGAAACTCCCTTCTGTGTTCCTCCCTCTGAATTCAACTTTCTAAATAAGAAAATAAACTAATCTTATAAGAGATTTTATAACCGGTACTTCAGTCTGAGTAAAATTACTACCTACATATGCATAAACTCCCAGGCCTAAAGCCAAATCCAGCTACACTGGGCATAGATGGCACTTAAACACCACTGTTTATTATAATTTAATTTATTGGAAGCAAATCGACAACATTTATACAGAAAAAGTACTTTAAAACCACACAGGACGACACCGAAGAGCCATCATCAAACAGCTTAAAATCTTGCCTTCACGTTTGGCATGAAATCTCAACCCTTAGATGTTCAGAGGAAAGGGAGCTCCGTGGTACCCTTCTCCCACACGTCCCCGTGTATTTAAGGCTGTAACGACACTAGCCGACAAGAGGTTGGGCAAGCACGGAAAGCTGAGACCTGTTCCTTTATTTCATCCCAGCTAGCTCCACGCTGATGAAGTGATCTATCATCATTGCTCCCATACGAGAGCGTATATTCCTCCAAGAAAGTTCAGCCGCTGCAGAGGTGACTGGACTAACATCGCCTGGCATCCAGCAGTGTACAGACTAAACCGTAGTTTTTAGTTAGAGAATATGGAAACTGACAACAAATTATTACTTGTGGTCTTTTTCCAGTTTTCAAGTGCAAACATACCAAAGTTTATTTTAAATCTGAGCCAGTCAGACATTTAGTAATATAGATCAAAGAAGAAACGAAGGCCTCCCATGCTTATTATTTCAATATGATGTCTGTTCTAATAAAGTGTAAGAATGCCTGTGATAGACTAACTAGTAGGAATTTTCTGGTTCTGTAGTTTAGCCTTAAATATATACATATATTTGTAAATTAATCAGAAACATATTGTCGTGGTTTCAGTTCCTCGGAAAGCTGATTGTTTTCAATCCTTTCTTTAATCTTAGAAATATGGTGGCAGTCTGCCAGCACACTTTCAGATAAACAGTCCACTTCACATTTAAAAGCTGTAGAATCACTGATGTTGAAGGGGGGGAAAAAAATCAACAGAAAACAACACCAGTTCTCTCTCTCTCTTCCCCAAAATGTAGAACATTATTTAAATAAGTTAGGGTTGTTGT